ATGGGTGTACTTACCTACATGCAGGCAATACACTCATACACATAAAATAAAGAAAGAAATAAGGAGAATGAGGCCGGGCGTGGTGGCGCACGCCTTTAGTCCCAGCACTCGGGAGGCAGAGGCAGGCGGATCTCTGTGAGTTCAAGGCCAGCCTGGTCTACATAGTGAGTTCCAGGACAGCTGGGGCTACAGGGAGACCCTGCTTCAAAAAGACAAAAAAAACCCAAAAAACAAAAAACCCCAAAAAGAAATAAGGAGAATGAAAATTTCACCCAGAAATTGAATTATGTCTGTTACAAAGTTCTGCTCATTTACTCTAAGCCCATTAAACATTCCTAGACTTTAGTAACAGTTCACAAAAATTTATATTTAAAATACAAAACTTAAAAACAGCATTAGTTAATTACAAATCCTTAATACTTTCCTCATGTGTGGATCATCTGTGTATCACAGATACGAATACAGGTTAAGAGATCTACATCAGGCCAGGCAGGTGCTCAGAAGCCTCTGAGGCCTTGCTCATGTTTCATACAATTCTCTGTGTCCTCTGCTGTGGAAGGCTGCCTGCATGCTGACACTCTCATCAAGGATATGACTATCCAGTCTCATAAAACTGTAGAAGGATACGGGGCACTGCAAAGGGCTGAGCAAATGCGTGGAAAGCAGAGCCCCATGTGATCTGCCAGGGGGCGACGTAGGTGTACACAAACTGCAATTTATACAGAAGTTCCCAAAGCTGCAGGAGGGAAAGAAAAGCTGTCAGTAAAACACTGGATGTTTCCATCAGAAAGCAAAAGGCCTATAAAATGCATCTTCCTAATAGGGAAATGGTACTGAAATTATTTACCATTTGTATCATAGGATACGATTTATCAATTGCCAAAACACTGAATTATTTGAACATAAAAATGCTATTTTTATGTAGATAGCTGACTTGTAGATTTGTTTTAAAAGTTTTGTGCCATGGCTGGAGAGGTGGCTCAAGGGTTAAGAGCACTTGTTCTTCCAGAGGACCCAGGTCTGATTCCAAGCACCCACATGGTGGCTCTGTCACCCTCTTCTGGCCTTTATGGGCACTATACACATACAGGTATACATATCAACAATCAAAACACTTGTACAAATAAAAATAAATAAATCATTAAGAATAAGTTCTACGCCCTCTCTGGCCAGCCATGTTATTACTGCTACGACAAGCAAAATGAAATGGTAGAAACAATAAAATTATTGTCCTTAAACAAAAACTCTAGATGTCTACAATAGGTGTGTGTGTGTGTGTGTGTATCTGTGTGTGTGTATATAAAATTCTAGGACACATTTTCCTTAAATTTTAATGCTTTGGAAACTGAGTATGGTCCAAATGTAATGTCAAGAAGACTGTGAAAATAGCAGTTCTAATACAACATCCACTGTCTACCTGCACAGGGATTTCGAGTGCATTAGGCATCTATCCTAACCTCAACTGCTACCAATGGAAACAGTCTACATTTAACTCTCATTTAACTTTGGATCTGCTAGTTCACATGTCTTCAAGGCTGAAGAAATCAGGACTATGGTTATTGCTCAGGGGTATAGAGAGGTTCTGGGTTCAATCTTCAGCACTGCAAGCAATCAATCAGTCAATCAACCAGTCAAAGAAACAGAACCTCAACCAACTGTAAAACGCAAATGAACTCTCGTATCCTTGGATATGACTCAGTTATTTAGCAATCTTCAGTGCTAACATGCTCAGGATCATAGGACACAGAAGCAACCCATGTACCACTATGATGCTTTACAACTACTTAAAGCACTTACTTCCAACTTCAGATTCTAAATGTGAAACTTGGTACTCAGATTGAGCCTGTACGCTGAAGGAAAAACTGCATGGAATTGTATGAGCAACTGATAGCCAGTAACATTTTGTACACACTTATGGTTATTAAATTGACGGTGCACCTCGCAGGGATGCCTTCCCATTAAAATCTGTAGATCCATCTACAGATCTTTTGACTATAATTGTCTATCATCATGTCAAGTTCTATCTACTGCCCATATGGATGGAAAACTTAAAACAGACCTTCTCGGTTTTGATGATGGATACAGCTTAAACATCTGAAATAGTTTTGGAAAACAGTATGCTTCCCCAAATATTTAACGAATGAAATTATTAAGAAGTCTAAACTAATGAGGGACTATGCATAGCACCTATGATTCAAAGGCTGCTTAGTTTATAATTTACTGCAACTTTCATGTCTTTCCAGTCAGTAAACTAAGATGCAACACAATTTCCAATCCAAGCATTTAAATTTGTGGGAAAGAACATGCTTCCTTTTACAGACAGTTCTCTGCCTAAATTTCTGGCTTCCTCCTTTGGTTAATAACAATGCTTACAAGAAGAAGAAATAAATGATAAAATGCACATAAATTAGTGACAATAAATATAATACTGGACTATTTCAGAAGGCATTTATCACAATATTGAAATTGACTATTGCTAAAACCCTGTTTCAGTAATAGCTAAATGGCTTTCCAGGTCCAGATAGGACCTCTATCACACCTGGATCACTGTCACAAGCTCTTTTTTTCCCCAAATATATTTTTTATTGAATTTTTGTGCATTTCATATAATATATCTTAATCATATTTAGACCTCCTCCCCTATCTGTACCCCCCATAAACTCCCTACCAATTTTGTATGTTCTGTCATATATGTTGAGGCCTACTGAGTTAAGTTTGTGTCCCCAGATGTCCCTCTGTATGAGTTCACCCACTGGAGCCTGTTCAGTCTGTCTAGTGTCACTCCTTTAAAGATGACCAACTCACTCTCATCCAGCAGCAATCAGTTGCAGTTGTTCCTTGAAGAAGGTTAGGGCCTCCTGCCCAGTTCTATGCTGGGTTATTGTCGAATTGAGTATGCATGGGTCTTATGCATGCTGTCACCATTGCCGTAAATTCGTATGAGCAAATTCCCAGAAGCCTGGAAGACTGTTTCCTTGGTTATCACAAGTTCTTAAATTGTCTCCACATTCATCCCAAATGTGGCTGACCAGGCTGACTTGCTGAATACTGGACTTCCATTGTACTCTGCAGTTGTTTAATTGCTTTAGCTCTCTGGGCTACCAAATGTCATAATATATATATCAAAGTGTTTTGTATGTGGAGAGTGCCAAAATGAAATCCAAGCACTATGTAACTCACAATTTAGTTCATTTAGAAAGGTAGTGTGTTTCAGAGATCCTTAGACTGGGTCATGGAAGTCCCAGATTTTATCATCACATTTGCCAAGGGCATCAAAACACCTATCTTACGGGCAGGGAATCAATCTGAGCAGCATCCAGCAAAGCAGAGTATTCTGTAAGTTCATCCTGGGCTGCTGCCACATGCTGCTCTGCCCTCACTCAGCTCTGAAGTAAGTATCCTCTACTGGAAGTGGAGCCCTCATCTACGTTGCTGTCTAGAGCCCAAAACAATTATTATCACTTCTATTTACAAAATTATTTAAAACCATGTCCCTTTTGGAAGCTCCTATATATTTAAGAATATATACTTATTAATGCTTCTCTTTTTACATAATTTTATTTCTAGCAATAGTGAGGAATGCATATATCTTTTATGAAGTGCAGTCACTAGCATTGTTTATGAATTCTAATATGCTCCAAAATAACTGGATGATTGAAGAGGGCTATTACTTAAAAGCTAATAGAGCAAAGGAAACAGCATAACCATCACTAAGCAGAGTATTACTTAGGAAGGCAGCTTTTGCAGGCAGAGATGTCCCTTTTGGTGATAAATTACCTTGTTGAACAGTATGGACATGAAGAAGAGATCTAACAGCATGGTCTCTGAAAAGGTTTCGTAGTCAAATTTGAAAAAGAGCACGGTAAAGATGACTGTGACGTACTGATACGCAGGGCTGCTAAAAGAGGACCGCAGCAGCTTCAAGCCGGCAATGGTGATCATCAAAGCACCCAACCTGCAGCAGAGAGACGCACAACCCATCAAACCAAGGCTGAAAACACGAAACACATGCCAACTCAGAAATGTCACCACTTAAAACAGACCAATTTTAAACTTCTAGAATTAATTTAAAAAAGCAGGGTAGGGTGGTATGTATCCATAATCCCAGCATTTGTGAAGATCAAAAGTTCAATGACAACCTAGACTGCACAGTAGGGCTGTTTTAAGAAATAAATACACAGGGCTGGAGAGATGGCTCAGTGGTTAAAAGCACTGGCTGCTCTTGCAGAGGTCCTGGATTGGTTTCCAGCACCCACATGGTGACTAATAACAGTCTAACTCCAGTTCCACGGGATCCCATACCCTCTTCTGACCTCCACAGGCATTGCACGACATGGGTGCACTTACATACATGCAGGCAATATACTCATACACATAAAATAAAAATAAATAAGTAAAAGAAAATTTTTAAAGAAATACATAATAAAAACAATTTACATTGATAAGCATATCATATCCTGAAAAGAACAGTTCTCGAAAACCATATACCAACATGACATAAATGGAGCTAAACTAGTGGGTACGTTTATAGGATAACCACGAGGGCAACTGATCACCTGAATGGTCCGAGTCACCCAGTGTACACTAGCTGTCTTCCAAACTTGCCATCTAATATTAAAATTTAACTATAATTTTATTTTTTTTATATTTATTCATATATTGTGTGCGGGGCAGCATGTACGCCATGGCATGTGTGTGGAGGTCAGAGGACAACTTTCTATAGTCAGTTCTCTCCTTCCACCATGTGGATCCTAGGGACTGAACTCAGATTGTTGGCTTGGCAGCAGGCACCTTTACCTACTGAGTCACCTTACTGGCCTGCAAATTAACTTTCACAAATGTCCTCTAATAAAAATACCAGTTGACAGCAAGAAGTCAAGAATAGTAAACACAGGGCTGGAGAGACGCTCAGTGGTTAAGAGCACTGGCTGCTCTTGCAGAGGACCTGGGTTGGTTTCTAGCACCCACATGGTGACTAATAACAGTCTGTACCTCCAGTTCTAGGGAAGGATCCCATACCCTCTTCTGACCTTTGCAGGCATTGCACGACATGGGTACACTTACATATATGCAGGCAATATACTCTTACACACAAAAGAAAAATAGAAATAAAAAAGAATAGTGACTACAGTGAGAGCAAAAGCAGATGCTCAAAAAAGGAAGACAGAGAGAATCTCACGTACACCTTTTCTCCTCCACTTGTACCAGAGACATAGCACTTACTGGCAGTTGACCACTAATGTAAGATACCGCTTTGACAGGAAGGCATTGCTTATCATCTAAGGACATGCAGAGGATGTCCTTGATACTCACTCTGTATCAAGTTTCTTTGGGCTGGCAATTGTCTCTGCACTGCTGCTAAGTTCATTGAGAACAACCAGTGGATAGATGACATTCTTCTCCACAAAGAGAAACCACACGTGAAGTTTTTCAAACCACATCATGGTGGCTGCATCTGAGGGGCCAAGAGTCAAGAACTCAGTTCACACAATGTACAAAGCAGTGGGGCAATACGGTAAGAAAGAAAAATCTGATGACTCAAATTTAGCTCTAAACTATGAGTAAGAAATGTAAAAAACCCAGTACTTCGATCTTCAAGTTCTATGTGCTCTGATGCACACAGAGACACACAGACACACAAAGACACACAGAGACCCAGACACTCACACAATTTCCAACCAAGACATGATGAACATTTCGAGGAATTCTATTCTAAGCTTTCTCTGTGGTGCTGCAGATCACACCAGAGTCTTACATATGGTAGGCAAATGTTCTATCCCTGACCTGCCTAACCTTAATTTCTTGAATTTTTAACTATGATCTTTTCTCATTATCCCTGTAGAATACAGAGAAAAAGTTACTAATGATTCTTGGGTTGTCCCATATCCCTAAATAAATGAAAGTTCTATTAAATGATGTGTTGTTTTTTGTTTTATTTATTATTTTTATTTTATGTGTATGAGTGTATTGCCTATATGTAAATAAGTGCACCTATATCATGCAATACCCACAGAGGTCAGAAGAGGGTGTCAGATCTCCTGGAACTGGAGTTACAGACAGCTGCTAGCCACCATGTAGGTGCTGGGAATCGAAGCCAGGTCCTCTGCAAAAGCAGCCAGAGCTCTCAACCACGGAGCCATCTCTCTAGCCCCTAAATGATGTTTTTTAAATGCTAAGATATATACATACTTATGATTTAAATTCACACAGTTTGTGAGAGTCATTTTCATCACCAATGCCATATAAAGATACCCTAAAAGACAACACAGTTGTTTGGTTATCTGGAAACAGTACCAGTACGTTTTAAGGACATCTTTAAATTGCTAACCTAAGAATAAGGAAAAAATAATTTATTGTAATCTACTACCTTCAAGTCAAAAACATGTTGATTCAAAATTTGTAAAAGTTTAGATTGTTTTAAGATTAAAAAAGAAATATACAATCAGTAATTAACTTTAATGTTTTTAAAACAAACTAGACATATTTAGTACCATTTATATATGAAAGTGATAAAAACAGTTTATCATAAAAAACTAAAGGGGCTGGAGAGATGGCTCAGTGGTTAAGAACACTGGCTGCTCTTGCAGAAGACATGGGTTTGAATCCCAGCACCTACATGGCAGCTAACAACTGTCCGTAACTCCAGTTCTAGGGGAACCAATAGCCTCTTCTGTCCTCTGTGGGCATTGAATGACACAGGTGCACTTACCTACCTACATGCAGGCAATACACGCATACACATAAAATTAAAAAATATATATTAAAAAAAAAAAAACTAAAAACAAAACCCTCCTCTTGCTCTGGGTTACGTGTCTGGTGCAGTAAATGGGCCAGTACCAATTCTTAGTTTCGTGTAAGCGTCCCTTATTAAAGGAGTGCGTATTTTGTAAAAGGTTTCCATGATGTCATTACTGCAATCTACTTATTAGTATAATTATCTCTCCAGTATCCAATTGGTGAGTAAGACTGAAGTGGCCTGATGCTTCAGTCAGATTCACTGAGACTTAAGCCACTGAGGATGTAAAGTTAAGTTTGCTATAAACAGATGTGATTGATTGACTTACTCTCCTTTTAGCAGTTCACTAAAGTCCGAGGAGGAAAGTTGTCTTATTTAATCACTGATACATAGGCAGGGTCAGTTGCTGTTTCTCTAAGATGAGGATGTGTAACACGCCATAGGTCATGGGGCCAATGCATAGGAAGGACACATCGGCATTTACAGAGACAAGGAAGAAGCTTGCTGAATGGAAGCTTCTCTTTCTGAGTCATTTTATATTTTATCCCAATCTGAACTAGCAACAGCAATTACAGAAAGATCAGTAACTTCCAAACTCCCTATACTTTCTCTAGGAGGACACAGTGTCTCTGGTGGAGAGACACAACAATCTTTCTTCCCTATGCTTTATGTTAAAAAAAATTTTCAAACAACAGCTGGGGTGCCAGTCTATAGCAAGGAAAACTGACTAGGGGAAGGAGAGGGGACGGCTAGAGAGATCGCACACGGGGATTCATTCGTGACAGGTGTGTGAGAGATGATTTAACGAAGTCAGTCTGCTCTGGAAAGTGGGTCTTGTAACCCTCATTTTTACTTCAACTCAAGACAAAGCATCCTGCAGGAGATCTGATTCATTAGGAGCTAATAATCTACAGACCTACAGGCAAGAAACGTGAGCTAACATGTTACTCAGCGACTCTTGCTTAACTTGCCATCTATTGGTACAGTAAAGAGAAAAATCATAAAGACTGTTATGCAATACTTACTTCGAACTTCATACTGATTGTACTCCGCGGTCTTCAGCAGAGGATGTGAGAAACAGTGCCATGGTAGCTGTTTCCTAACTTGTGGCAACACGTAATGGGTTACAAAACCCACAAGGCCGACCAGAGTGTACAGCACATACTTGAGCGCAGGCTACAAGAAAAACAAAACTGAGCATATTAGGAGCAGCTGTGAGAGTCAGTGCAGCGCTCCTGGTTAGCTGGCGTAGGCTTTCATTCGACAAGGGAGAAGAGCAAAGTCAATTTTAGAATCTAAAAAATAAATAATTACCTATGTAAATGTCAACGTTTCTGTATTTTTCAGTTTTTGTTTTGTTTTTGGTTGTTGCTGTGTGTTGTTTTGTGTTTTGGGTGTTGTGGATTTAACTAACTAAGCCACTGAAAGCAACTGTTCTTACACATTTTTGAAATATGTTAGCTACTTTGGTGTCTCACTCCATTACACAGTGAGAGAGGCTAGAGTTGCTGCTTCCTGCTCTAAGAACATTCACTGCCTGAGCAACAGATTAAACAGTTTTAAGTAGTAGAGACAAAGGACATCAGCTAGTCTGAGGCAAAAAAAGCCTGTCAGCCAGTCTGAGAAAAGAGCAGAGGAAGAGAAGGAAAGCATGCTGCCCTTGGCCTTTGAGTGGTAAACACTTATAAGTGAGTGCTTGTGTGTGTGTCACTAAATACACAAGAGAAGGAATCAAGTACTACTTCTTCAAATATTAAAACTAAATGTCATTTTCAAGTATTCATGGATTATTTGTGTAAATTAGGAAGAAGAAAAACAAGCAAAAATGTTTACCAATATTAAATTAGTAAGTCGTTGCTTCTGGGGAAGTGGGATAACAGGTGTTCGTTTACCTCTCCTAGGAAACAACCAAGATAGCATAAGATGTGCAGCCCAATGGTTTGCATTAGTCAGGATGTACAGAAATAAGCCTGCACCCTGAAGGAAAGGGAACAAGGAGGGCAGTGTGTTTCCCCCGACTCACTGCCCTGAGAGAAGGCACTCATAAGGAGAAGAAACTGCAGAGAGACCTTTGAAGAAGATGGTCCTTCAAGGATTCACAGAAATGAGATCCACACACGAGGAAACTACAGGAGATCAGGGAAGAATCATGAGAGGGAATCAGAGAAGACAGCATGCAGGACTCACACAGGCCTGAGAGACAGACTGCCACTCTCAGAAGCCAGACTGGAAAGCTCAGGAGTCAAAGAGCCCCAAGTAGAGGCTTAAAGGTTGTTCCTCCTGGTAAGTACTCTAAGCTAAACCTGGCCCTGGTCTCACCTCAGAAATTCTATTAATAACGAAGAGACCTGAAAGGATCAAACTGTCAACAAGGGTTAGGGACAAACTTCAAGAGCATTTCTGGAAACACAAAATTTAACGCCCAACAAGGTAAAATTTACACTGTTGACATCTAGTCAAAAGTTTCCATATGGCACTCTGAATGGATTTAAGACTCACTCCCCAGGGGGAAGATGGGGGATGGTGAGGGAGGGAGCCAATGCCTCATGCTTGCTTAACAATCCAGGTATGGGGAGGTGTAGGTCAATGTCGGGGAATATATTTCTGATCTTTAACACAGCAGCGACATGCCTTCTAAACATCAATGCTTATACCCATAAACAAAAGCAGCTCCCAGGCTTTTAAATAAAGAAGCCTCTCCTTACAACAATGTGGTGAATGCAGACCCATGGTTGCTCAAGATGCAGAAAATAAAAGACTGATGTGGGTCTAGTCTTTTTCACTTATACCATCCCCTCTAAGGCTCAGGGAACATTTTGGAAGAGGGGGAAGGAAGAATATAAGAGCCAAAAGAGAGATGAAGAGCTAGAAAGGCCATTCCCGAGACCCCATACAACACATGTAACCATTAACTCACTCAACCAGTGGAAGGCAGCTCGCCAGGCCCTACCCTTTACCTTTGAACAACTGGCTATCAATAGATTCTGGGAGAGGGGGAAATCACTATCTTTAGTTGTGCACCCTTTGCTGAGCCCATCAGGCTCCAAGGGATAGTGCCAAACCCACAGTCACGCTATGGCCTTGGTTACTCTTGGTGGGTCACAGGTCACAAAACAAAACAAATAGACATGAATGCACTAGAGAGATTTGTAGGGAGGGGGAGGGAGACAGGTATGTTAGGGAGGTGAGAAGTGAGAGTGGTCAGTGTGCAAAAGTGTACAAAGAATCAGGAAGCCACAAGTCTGACTGAAGGAAAAAGATCAGCCAATCAGAACCAACCAGTGATACAGATGCCAGAATTAGTAGATAAGTGCTTTCTTAAGAGAGTTATAGCCAATTCCCTTATGTCCAAACCATCAGGGGCATGGAAGGTACATGGAAAAAAGACCTAGATAAGCTTCTAATAATTTTCTTAGATGAAAAATACCCTGGACAGGATTAATGAGAAATTATGCCACAGAAGAAAAGATTAGTAAATTAAAAGACAAATGACACAACTTAAAATTAAACACACAGAAAAAAATTAAACTGAGCATCAGATAAGCATAAGACAACTTCAGAAAGCCAAAGCTACATGCAATTGGAGTCAATAAGGTGGTGTGGGATGGGATGGGATACAAAAAGTTGGAGGAAGGAGCAGGGAGAAGAGAGAAAAACACCTAAAAGAGTAACGACCAAAAATGTCTAAATTTAATGAAAAGTGTGAACCAAAGATTCAATGAACTTCAAACACAAAAATGCGAAGAAAACAACATAAAGGCCTCTTACATTGAATTATTTTCTACTAGTGATTAAAAAAAAAAGTCCTCTAAGCAGCAGAGAAAAAGCAAATTACCTACAAAGGAGTTAAGAAGAGGGCAATCACACAAATTTTACATCAGAAGCAAGAGGAGAGAGAAGACAGTGGAGCAGCATCTTGACAATGCTGGCAGAGCAAAGCTATGGTCCTGGAATGCCATACCCAATGCAGCCTTTCAAAGCCAGTAAGGGACGCAGGGACTGGTGAAGTAAGGATTTGCACAAGAGTGTTCTAGGATACCTTTAGGTCAAAGGAAAATGACACCATATAGAAACATGGATCTCTACCAAAGGAGCACTGAACATCAGGTGATTGGGTGTGAACAGGAGAGTGGGTGTGAACAGGTGATCAGGTGTGAATAGATGATAGGTGTGGACAGGTGATCAGGTGTGAACAGACTAGGTATGAACAGGAGACTGGGTATGAACAGGTGATCAGGTGTGAATAGGTGATTAGGTGTGGACAGGTAATTGGTATGGTCAGGTGATCAGGTGTGAACAGATGATTAGGTGTGGATAGGTGATTGGGTGTGAATAAGTGATCAGGTGGGAGGAGGTGATTAGGTGTGGATGGGTGATCTGGTGTGAACAGATTAGGTATGAACAGGAGACTGGGTATGAGCAGGTGATTGGGTGTGAAGAGATGATTAGGTGTGGACAGGTGATTGGGTGTGAACAGGTGATCTGGTGTGAACAGGCGATTAGGTGTGGACAGGTGATTAGGTGTGGACAGATGATTAGGTATGAACAGGTGATGAAGTGTGGACAGATGATCAGGTGTGAACAGATGATTAGGTGGCCTACGGATGCAAAAATGTCTCTGTAGAACTGCACATAAGGAGAAAGCCTGAGGTGCCTCACCCATTCCCGGAGCCTGACTAGAAATGGTTCAACTCTTTCAGATGTACTAAAGTAAGATTTTGGGGATGTGGAGGCTAGAATAAACACATCTTGTATAAGGAAGGATATGAATCATGAAGGCCAGAGGACAGACTGGTAGTCAGCCTCCAAAGCGGTCCCTATGATACCAACCTCCCAGGATTTGTACCACTGTGTGCTCACTTCCCACACTGTGGGACCAGCAGAACACAGGACTGGTGTGTCATCTGTTATATCAGGACATAGAAGCATACATTCTGGCTTAGGCTTTTTCCCTCTAGGAAGGATCACTTGCTGTGGGGGAAAACAGATGCCATTTTATGAGGATACTTGGGGTGTCTCTGGGAGATCCACATGGACAGGAACTGAAGTTTCCAGCCAGCAGTGAGGAAATGAGGACTGCATACAATGGACCTCAGACAAGGCAACAACATAAAAAGATCCTAAGCTAGACTCATTGGCTAAGCCACTCCCACATTCACAGAGAAACCTTGAGAAAATACATAAACAAAAATTCATATATTCGTTAAGGCTCAGGGAATACTGATGAAGAGAGGGCCAGAAGACCGTAAGAGTATGATGGGGAAAGAGGCTGCAAAGTATCATCTTCTAAGCACAACACAGCCACAGCACCCACAAACTCACAGCAGCTGTGCTTACTGGTGCTGGGTCTGTACAAGTTAGGCCTTCCTAAGAGTCAGCTAAGGCTTGGCAAGGGACCCCCTACCACTTACCGCTGCTCCACTAGAAACTAACAGATTCTGGGTAAGGGGAAGGCAGACTATGCAGTTGTGTGCCCACTGGTGAGCCCACCAGGCTCTCATGGTTAGTTCTAAACTCAGGGTCACAGAGATGGTCCTGGTTAAACTCTATGGTACAATAAACAAAACTAAAACTAGTAAGTGGGGGAAAGAAATAGGAGATGGGGATGGGGTTGGTAGGGAAACTTTATATATTATATATATACATATATATGTATATATATTTCAGGGCTATGGACAAATGTTACACAAATCAGCAATGAGATCAAATGTCATTTTCTTCCAGTGGAAACAAGCAGATTCCTTACCTGCAGTACTGTGAATACTGTGCTCACATGAATAGCAAAATACAGCACCCCAATGACAATGCACACTACTAGGTCAGACTGCAAACGCTCACTCTGTAGGACACAAACAAATAAACAAAACATAAAAAATCAATTACATGCTTTTTTTAAAAAAAAAATAGGGTCTCACGTAGCCCAGGCTGGCTATAACTTATTGTACAGCTGACGATAATCTTGAACTCCTGGTCCTCCCACCTCCACTTTCCCAATGGTGAGATTACAGGCATCTGTCACCATGCTTTGCTTCACATACAATTGAAAAAAAAATCTTTTATTTGGCAAAACTTAATTTTTCACTAATATACTTTAGCATTTCTAGGTATTTCTTGCATAAAATAGTTAACTAGAATAAATCTTATTTCAATGACAATGCACACTACTAGGTCAGACTGCAAACGCTCACTCTGTAGGACACAAACAAATAAACAAAACATAAAAAATCAATTACATGCTTTTTTTAAAAAAAAATAGGGTCTCACGTAGCCCAGGCTGGCTATAACTTATTGTACAGCTGACGATAATCTTGAACTCCTGGTCCTCCCACCTCCACTTTCCCAATGGTGAGATTACAGGCATCTGTCACCATGCTTTGCTTCACATACAATTGAAAAAAAAATCTTTTATTTGGCAAAACTTAATTTTTCACTAATATACTTTAGCATTTCTAGGTATTTCTTGCATAAAATAGTTAACTAGAATAAATCTTATTTTCTTCCTAAATTTCCTCATATTTGGGGGATGTTCTCAGAGTTTGGCACTGATATCAAAGAAACCAAACAATTTCATTCCTTGGGTTGTAGACAAGTTATAGTCTTTCAGAAGGTTTTCTTCTCACTGGCCAGTAAGTTTTACTTTTTTTTTTTGGTCTTTTTGAGACAGGGTCTCCCTGTAGCCCCAGTTGTCCTGGAACTCACTATATAGACCAGGCTGGCCTTGAACTCACAGAGATCTGCCTGCCTCTGCCTCCCAAGTGCTACTTTGGTTTTTAACTTTAAAACAAATTTATTGAGAATTTCATACATGCATATAAAGTGTTTTGATCAAATCCATGCCCACTCCCTCCCCTCCAACTCCTTTCATATCTCCCAACTTCCTGCACTCTCTCTTCTTTTCTCTCTCTCTCTTCTTTTTTAATGGGGCTTTTTTTTTTTTTTGGTCTTTTTGAGTCAGGGTCTCCCTGTAGCCCCAGCAGTCCTGGAATTTACTATGTAGACCAGGCTGGCCTTGAACTCACAGAGATCCACCTGCCTCTGCCTCCTGAGTGCTGGGATTAAAGGCATGCACCACCATGCCCATCTTTGGGGCTTTTGTTGTTGTTGTTGTTGTTATAGATTAGATAAGAGCTCCCAAATACTTTTGACATTTTTGGCCTTTGGAAAAGAGTATGGTGCTAAGAGGCCCAAGGACATTTTGACTTTTAGCCAAGAAACTGGCTACTTTTCTTTGGGGTCTTTCTACACTAACTTATCACACCATCCTCTGAAGAGGTTATCCAAATTGCTGATGGGGAATCGGAACAAACCATTCTGGCTTCTTCCATGCTGAACAGGGACACAGGGTGAGGCAATTGGGGTACCCCTTCAGTGGGTCTATCTAAAAGTCTCCCAAATTGCATAACTCTTAACTGTAGGGAGAAAAGAAATTCCTTGACTGGTGCCTAGGAGATGTGAAGAAGTAAAGGCAAGAGTAGTTAGCATTACAAGTTCTAGACAGGGAACCAGAAAAAGGTCAGAACAGGGCAAATTTCAGAGTCCATTGGAATTTCTTGACGAGAGCTTCCAAAAAGCATCCCTCTATTGGTTTCCTCCTCATTTTTCTTTGGATATTGACCAAAAAGAAAAAGATACTGAAGTTATCATTTATAGTGTAAATGCCTTTCACTAAGTTATATATATATATATAACTTAGTGAACTGAAGTTATCATTTATAGTGTAAATGCCTTTCACTGTTATATATAATATATAATATATATTATATAATATATTA